AAAATACACATAAAAGTGTAGAAAAAAATTGACAGACAAATACGAGTAGAGGAAGACACCTATTACCACCAAAAAGTCATCCAACACATAAATCCAAAATTATAAAAAAGTTCGCAAAAAAATTTAATTTTTCTTAGGCAGACGATTTTAATGCATTTTCTTGCACAAAATACACATAAAAGTGTAGAAATCAATTGACAGCTCGATCCGAGTAGAGGAAGACACCTATTACCACCTAAAAGTCATCCAACCCATAAATCCAAAATTATAAAAAAGTTCCCAAAAAAATTTCATTTTTCTTAGGCAGACGATTTTAATGCATTTTCTTGCACAAAATACACATAAAAGTGTAGAAAAAAATTGACAGACAAATACGAGTAGAGGAAGACACCTATTACCACCAAAAAGTCATCCAATACATAAATCCAAAATTATAAAAAAGTTCGCAAAAAAATTTAATTTTTCTTAGGCAGACGATTTTAATGCATTTTCTTGCACAAAATACACATAAAAGTGTAGAAAAAAATTGACAGACAAATACGAGTAGAGGAAGACACCTATTACCACCAAAAAGTCATCCAACACATAAATACAAAATTATAAAAAAGTTCGCAAAAAAATTTAATTTTTCTTAGGCAGACGATTTTAATGCATTTTCTTGCACAAAATACACATAAAAGTGTAGAAAAAAATTGACTGATAAATACGAGTAGAGGAAGACACCTATTACCAACAAAAAGTCATCCAACACATAAATCCAAAATTATAAAAAAGTTCGCAAAAAAATTTAATTTTTCTTAGGCAGACGATTTTAATGCATTTTCTTGCACAAAATACACATAAAAGTGTAGAAAAAAATTGACAGACAAATACGAGTAGAGGAAGACACCTATTACCACCAAAAAGTCATTTAACACATAAATCCAAAATTATAAAAAAGTTCGCAAAAAAATTTAATTTTTCTTAGGCAGACGATTTTAATGCATTTTCTTGCACAAAATACACATAAAAGTGTAGAAAAAAATTGACAGACAAATACGAGTAGAGGAAGACACCTATTACCACCAAAAAGTCATCCAACACATAAATCCAAAATTATAAAAAAGTTCGCAAAAAAATTTAATTTTTCTTAGGCAGACGATTTTAATGCATTTTCTTGCACAAAATACACATAAAAGTGTAGAAAACAATTGACAGCCAGATCCGAGTAGAGGAAGACACCTATTACCACCAAAAAGTCATCCAACCCATAAATCCAAAATTATAAAAAAGTTCGCAAAAAAATTTAATTTTTCTTAGACAGACGATTTTAATGCATTTTCTTGCACAAAATACACATAAAAGTGTAGAAAAAAATTGACAGACAAATACGAGTAGAGGAAGACACCTATTACCACCTAAAAGTCATCCAACCCATAAATCCAAAATTATAAAAAAGTTCCCAAAAAAATTTAATTTTTCTTAGGCAGACGATTTTAATGCATTTTCTTGTACAAAATACACATAAAAGTGTAAAAAAAAATTGACAGCCAGATCCGAGTAGAGGAAGACACCTTTTACCAACTAAAAGTCATCCAACCCATAAATCCAAAATTATAAAAAAGTTCGCAAAAAAATTTAATTTTTCTTAGGCAGACGATTTTAATGCATTTTCTTGCACAAAATACACATAAAAGTGTAGAAAAAAATTGACAGACAAATACGAGTAGAGGAAGACACCTATTACCACCAAAAAGTCATTTAACACATAAATCCAAAATTATAAAAAAGTTCGCAAAAAAATTTAATTTTTCTTAGGCAGACGATTTTAATGCATTTTCTTGCACAAAATACACATAAAAGTGTAGAAAAAAATTGACAGACAAATACGAGTAGAGGAAGACACCTATTACCACCAAAAAGTCATCCAACCCATAAATCCAAAATTATAAAAAAGTTCCCAAAAAAATTTAATTTTTCTTAGGCAGACGATTTTAATGCATTTTCTTGCACAAAATACACATAAAAGTGTAGAAAAAAATTGACAGACAAATACGAGTAGAGGAAGACACCTATTACCACCAAAAAGTCATCCAACCCATAAATCCAAAATTATAAAAAAGTTCCCAAAAAAATTTAATTTTTCTTAGGCAGACGATTTTAATGCATTTTCTTGCACAAAATACACATAAAAGTGTAGAAAACAATTGACAGCCAGATCCGAGTAGAGGAAGACACCTATTACCACCAAAAAGTCATCCAACCCATAAATCCAAAATTATAAAAAAGTTCCCAAAAAAATTTAATTTTTCTTAGGCAGACGATTTTAATGCATTTTCTTGCACAAAATACACATAAAAGTGTAGAAAACAATTGACAGACAAATACGAGTAGAGGAAGACACCTATTACCACCAAAAAGTCATCCAACCCATAAATCCAAAATTATAAAAAAGTTCCCAAAAAAATTTAATTTTTCTTAGGCAGACGATTTTAATGCATTTTCTTGCACAAAATACACATAAAAGTGTAGAAAACAATTGACAGACAAATACGAGTAGAGGAAGACACCTATTACCACCTAAAAGTCATCCAACCCATAAATCCAAAATTATAAAAAAGTTCCCAAAAAAATTTAATTTTTCTTAGGCAGACGATTTTAATGCATTTTCTTGCACAAAATACACATAAAAGTGTAGAAAAAAATTGACAGACAAATACGAGTAGAGGAAGGCACCTATTACCACCAAAAAGTCATCCAACACATAAATCCAAAATTATAAAAAAGTTCGCAAAAAAATTTAATTTTTCTTAGGCAGACGATTTTAATGCATTTTCTTGCACAAAATACACATAAAAGTGTAGAAAAAAATTGACAGACAAATACGAGTAGAGGAAGACACCTATTACCACCAAAAAGTCATCCAACCCATAAATCCAAAATTATAAAAAAGTTCCCAAAAAAATTTAATTTTTCTTAGGCAGACGATTTTAATGCATTTTCTTGCACAAAATACACATAAAAGTGTAGAAAAAAATTGACAGACAAATACGAGTAGAGGAAGGCACCTATTACCACCAAAAAGTCATCCAACACATAAATCCAAAATTATAAAAAAGTTCGCAAAAAAATTTAATTTTTCTTAGGCAGACGATTTTAATGCATTTTCTTGCACAAAATACACATAAAAGTGTAGAAAACAATTGACAGCCAGATCCGAGTAGAGGAAGACACCTATTACCACCAAAAAGTCATCCAACCCATAAATCCAAAATTATAAAAAAGTTCCCAAAAAAATTTAATTTTTCTTAGGCAGACGATTTTAATGCATTTTCTTGCACAAAATACACATAAAAGTGTAGAAAAAAATTGACAGACAAATACGAGTAGAGGAAGACACCTATTACCACCAAAAAGTCATCCAACCGTAAATCCAAAATTATAAAAAAGTTCGCAAAAAAATTTAATTTTTCTTAGGCAGACGATTTTAATGCATTTTCTTGCACAAAATACACATAAAACTGTAGAAAAAAATTGACAGACAAATACGAGTAGAGGAAGACACCTATTAGCACCAAAAAGTCATCCAACCCATAAATCCAAAACCATAAAAAAAATATTTTACCAATATTTGTAATATTCATCGCTATTTTAGGTGTAATCCTACTGTTAATCTTGATTGTAAGAGTGTCATGACGGGAAACAAAATTGTCATGCTTTTAACACCTTTTTTTTTTTTTAAATATGAGTTTTCTTTAAAAAGAATACGAGTATCAACTTTAATTGTGCTCGCTATATTTTTCTTGTAATCTACACGCCAAAATACATATGTGAACCAATTTTCAGCCCTCTAGATAAATTCGTGTAACCGCTAGGGATGGTGGGTGTATGCCATACTTCATTAATAGGTTTACCCCTTCAGGTACGGAACCCTCAAAAGCGTTTGGACAACAGAAGTTCGGATAAAATATTTTACGGTTCAGATAGCCGATTGTTTGGATAACACCGTTCGACACGATTTTTGACCCACAAAAAAATCCATCATTTTTGGAGAATAAGAACCAAAAAAAAACCCGTGTCTGGTAGTTTTGCTAGATCAAGTCGTTTGTAGTTTTTAGGGGTGAAAACATCCCCTAAATGAAAAGTTATAAGATATCTTTTAAAAATTATTAATATTTTATAAAACTTGGTATCTAGGGGTTATCGGGGTCGCTGATGATTAATTTGATGTCAAATTTTCAAAATTTAAAATGGCGTATCCAATATAGCGATCAAATTTTTAAAAAGTTATTAATTTTTTTTTAATATCCGCCGTTTTGAATTTTGAAAATTAAATATCAGATTTAACATCAGCGACCCCAAAAACCCCTAGAAACCAAATTTTATAAAAAAATAATAACTTTTTAAAACTTTGACCACCATATTGGATCCGTGTTCAAGTTGACTATGGGAAGGGATTTGAGTGTGTGTGGATGTTGCGAGTACAGGAAAAATGTAAGGTACGCAACGCGACAAAAGAGTGGGAATGAAGGCGAAAATGCGAAAAACGAGGGAAAGATTAGTATCTCCTGAGACTAAATTAAACATGTATTAATATATTTGAGATTTTCAATAAAATCAAGTTTGTAAAATAATATAAAAACACTATTCAATTCACTGAATCGCATTCAATGCACAATCCGCCATTTTGAATTTTGAAAATCTGACATCAGATTAATAATCAGCGACCCAGAAAACCCCCAGATACCAAGTTTTATAAAAAATTAATAATTTAAAAAAAAATCTTGTCACTTTTCATTTAGGGGTTGCTTTCACCCCTATAAACCACAAACGACTTGATCTAACAAAACGTCAAGACACGGGTAATTTTTTTTTGTCCTAGTTTCAGAAAATGTTGGATTTTTTGGTTGGTCAAAGAAAAAGTTAAATTTTGTCGGACGGTGTAATCGAGGTTCCACTAACCTTGTTTTAATATTAATTATTAATTAACGCAAGAGGGTAAATAAAAATAATAGCCTATGTGAGTGAAATAATGGATCGTGTATTTTGTGAATCAAATAAATTATAGAATACATGATTATATGTACAAAGTGAATTTACAATGATTTTTTCACACACAATTATAAAAAATCAGTCAACTTTGGTTGATTTTTTTGGAGCGCAAGTGTAGCCTTTTAAAACTAAAGAATACACTTGCTTATTTCGATATACATATATACCTATGTGAATAAATGAATTATATACATATAATTTTTTTTTTCTAGATAAATGAATATACACAAATGTATAATATTTAGTTAACAAGGAAAAGTGAAAAGGAAATTATGTTCTTTAAAATCTTGTTTAATGATTCGATTTAGATAAAAGAAAATATCTCCAGGCGACAATAATCTAAATTTTAAAAAAATCTAAAACTATAATAAATTTTTATTTTTTTCATTGCTAATAAATATTAAACATTTTTAAATTTATTTAATTACTTCCCTTAATTTCCTTTTTAACTAAAAAAATGTGTTTTTTTAACTATCGTTTCAAATTTTTACAAATATCTTAAAGATTAAAAAAAAATCTTAAAATTACAAAAATAATAATACAAAAAAATAACTTATAGTAAAAAAAGTCCTAATTTTACGATTCCTTAAAAAAACTGTAGCAAAAATAAATGAATTGACGTGAAAGGAATTTTTAAGGATTCAATCCCACGTGTTCTTTAAGTTTCAGTTTTTAAACATTAAGTATTTAAGTATTTTCACTTGTCGGAATCTTATTTTCTTAATGTTTTGTTTTTTTATGAAAGATAATGAAATTTTTGAAATATAATATTTTGAGTGACACTGACAATGAATAGATGAGCGAAACAATAGCTATTGGTCCCCGCCAGTTGTTCCTAAAGCACTTGCATCAGCGCTACTGCTTTCAACTATCAACATTACAGTTTCGGCTGCTCCTCTTACACATTCTCCTTGATGAACGCTCCAGTCTTTTCGCTGACAAAAAGTTGAACAATAGGGTGTACGCCTACACAATGAACATTCCGCGAACGCTTCTCGATTGCAATTAGAGCACTGAAATTCAAAATAATTTTCAATAATTTAATTATTAAAGTTATCACTTGGTGAGAAGTATACCAAGGCCTCGGATCGACTTTAAGGTGCAAAAAAAAATCATTTTAGTCGATTTAAATTAAAAAAAAAAGTTGAAAAAGTTAATTTCTTTATTTTAATTAATTAATAAGTATTTTACTTTATATAATTAATGTTATTAGATATTAAATCTATTTTAATAATTCCTTTATAAGAATAATTCAATAGGAATATTATCAAGAAAATTCGAAAGAAGTTTTTTTTTTTAAATAAAGTGAAAAGTAATCAGAAAAGAAATGAAAATATGTTTCTATGTTAAATATAGTAATTAAAAATAATGTTACCTTTTTATTATGAGTATCAAGAGCAGGTTGCAAGCCAACAGTCTCTATTACATCTCCCCTTCCACCTAATTGAGCGACAAGTGCTTGTTCTCGTCTTTGTTGTTTATATAATTCTTTTGCTTCGTCCAAAGTACGTTTAAAATCACAGGCAATTTTCAACATCTTATTTGACATATCATCCAATTTTCGAAAGACATCATCCGCTTGTCCATTTTCTGCTTGAACGGTGTCTTGTTCTGATTGATGTACAACTAAACCATCTTCAGAAACAAACTGTGACCAAACTTCTTTAACTGGACCAACAACTTCACTGTCGCTATCATTATTACTACCGTCCCGTGAATTATCACTTTTATGCTTACGCGATGGTGTTTCACTATCCGAATGATCTCTAGCTCTTCTTCTTCTTTTATAAGGTGTAAACAAACGAACTGGACCAGTCTAAAAATAAAAAATTTCATACATTTTTTATTTTTAAAATCAAAATTTTTTTAAAACTATTAACAGGAAAGCATCAAAATTTTCTAAAAAGAAGGGAATAGGGGAAATTTTGTTTGAAAAAGGGTAAAATAGGGTAAAATCTAAATGTATATTTTCCTTAACTAAAATGCTTTAAAGTTGTTGTAAATTACACTACCCGTGAAAATTTTGAGACCACCCATTTTCTTGATGAATAAAAAACATCTTAAAACATAGAAAGTATAGAAACCAAAATATGTTTTCCAACTATTTAAAAGGGGTCAATCCATTATATTTCGAATGAAGTCGTCGCTGACTAATTTTTAAAAATTATAATACTTTGCAGGAATGATTTTGAAGTTATCAAGATCACGAAATGAAAAGAATTTTATTAAAATTTTAATTATTTATTGCAAAATATGAATTTAAAGTATATGAGGTGCTGAAAACTGTCAATTTTTTAGCCATTAGAAAATATGCAAAAATACGTAGAATTTACCATAAAAATAAAAAAAATTTTTTGTAATTTACTAAGAATGAATAAATTTATCATTATCAATTGATGTAATTATTTAAATATGTGAAATAATAAATAAAATATGATTTTCAAGTTTGCCTGTCAAATAACCTAAATTTGCAAATTTCGTCTATTAAATGTGAGAAAGAGAAGTCATTAAATTGAAAAAAACCTTACCAAATATAAAGTACCTGTGACTAACTTTTAGTTTTTCTTAGCACTTTTTTCCTTTTTTCTTCATAAATGTGAAATAAAAAGCAATAAAAATTGGCACTTTGCTTATTTTCACTATTTTCAAATGTAAATAACTTTCTTGGAGAGAACTGAAAAATTACAAAACTTGGGCAATATCTAATTGATCACTAACTACACACACTGGAAAAAAATTCGCTTTGGTCCCGAAGATACTTTTTGAGATAATTATGTTTAAATTTTTCACAATTTTTATCAGGTTAATGCATGTGATTTTTATAAAATTGAAGTTAGTTCAAAATGTTTAACCAATAAAACCTAACTTCGTCCTTAAAAATCACATGCATTAACCTGATAAAAATTGTGAAAAATTTAAACATAATTATCTCAAAAAGTATCTTCGGGACCAAAGCGAATTTTTTTCCAGTGTGTGTAGTTAGTGATCAATTAGATATTGCCCAAGTTTTGTAATTTTTCAGTTCTCTCCAAGAAAGTTATTTACATTTGAAAATAGTGAAAATAAGCAAAGTGCCAATTTTTATTGCTTTTTATTTCACATTTATGAAGAAAAAAGGAAAAAAGTGCTAAGAAAAACTAAAAGTTAGTCACAGGTACTTTATATTTGGTAAGGTTTTTTTCAATTTAATGACTTCTCTTTCTCACATTTAATAGATGAAATTTGCAAATTTAGGTTATTTGACAGGCGAACTTGAAAATCATATTTCATATATTATTTCACATATTTAAATAATTACATCAATTGATAATGATAAATTTATTCATTCTTAGTAAATTACAAAAAAAAATTTTTTATTTTTATGGTAAATTCTACGTATTTTTGCATATTTTCTAATGGCTAAAAAATTGACAGTTTTCAGCACCTCATATACTTTAAATTCATATTTTGCAATAAATAATTAAAATTTTATTAAAATTCTTTTCATTTCGTGATCTTGATAACTTCAAAATCATTCCTGCAAAGTATTATAATTTTTAAAAATTAGTCAGCGACGACTTCAGTCGAAATATAATGGATTAACCCAAAGATGTTTTTTTTTTAGAGAAAAGTGAGAATTAAAGGGACTTTCTGATTTAGAATTCCAAAAAAATCGATTTTTTTTTTGCTTGAAAATGTTCTTTAGTAATATCATAAAATTACTGTTTCAAAACGTTTTTTCAGGGTGTCCAGCAAGAAGTACAAAAAAAAAAAATTCCCTGACTTTTTCCAATTTTTCTTTAATAAATATTTAATATTAAAAAAATGAAAAGTATCAATTATTAAAGTATTTTTAAGATAATAAAAAAAATTTATTTATTAGTATTATTAACTTTTTCTTGCACCAGAAAATTCGAAAAATTTATAAAAATGTTCATTTTTGGCAAATTTTTAAAAAGTTCCCTTACTTTTAATTAAATTCCTTGACATTCCTTAACTTTTCACTGACTAAAAAATTTCCCTGACTTCCCTAACCGCTGGACACCCTGGTTTTTTTGAAAGAAAATTTTTCAAACCGGTGAACGACTTTTCTCGAAATTTACCGAATCGATTTTAAAAAACCAAAGATCATTCGATTACTTATTTAAAAAACTAGAGAATAAAACTTAAAAATTTCATATTTCTACCCCCTGTTTTTTTATACGAAGGTAAATTGCTCCAAAAACACAGCGTTTTTGCGAATTTTTGAGAAAAATGTACATAAAAAATAATAAAATAAAACCTTTTAAAAAATCGTTTTTTAGTTTTATTGTCTAGAATAAATCCTTATCAAGAGATTTCCATTTGAATTTTAAATTTATATATTACTAGTTGTCCGGAATCAAGTGCACCAAAAAAAGGTACCTTTTGGAAGACGCCACCTTCAGCTACGAAATTTAACTAAATACAAACATATTTTTTTTTAAATTTTCTCTACGTAATGTACAACAATGTCCAAAAAGAATTTTTGCAATTTCTTTAATACTTTTCTTACAATAAAAGTTTTAAAACGTGTCTTTTTTGTCAATTCTAAACCAGAAAGTCCCCTTAAGGGGTTACACGGGTCAAAAAATGTATATTTTCTTATAACTTTTTTTTCATACAATAAATAATTTATTTTATTTGACCACTTAGTTACCTTAAATTACACTATAAAATAAGTTAGTTATAAAATTGTTTTAAATAAATATTACAAAATTAAGCCAATGGCAACAGGTTCTTTAAGACCTCTTCCAAAACGAAGGGTGGTTTTTTTTAAATTGAAATTTTAATTTTTGGCAGAGTTTTCTTTTTGACGAAGCTGAAGTACGCAACGTTTATCATAAACGATTTTTAAAGAAATAATTTTTTAAATTGAAAAATTCTATAAATTTTTGCCTTAAAAATATTACTTGTAGTTTTCATTGATCAACAAATTATAAAAAAATAAATTTTTCAGACAAAAAATTATTTCTTTAAAAATCGTTTATCATAAAGAAACGTTGCGTGTACTTCAGCTTCGTATTTTTTTTATCACAAATTACGATTTTTGGAACTATTTAGACCATGTAAAATCGGTTGTAATCAACAGAAAAAAATCCTTCGTTTAATCACTAGTCAATACTATGTAGAAGAAGTGTGCCAAATTACAGAAAAATTGGTTCATCTGTTTTTGAGAAATCGTGGCTACCGACTTTAAAATTAGAGTTTTGAGAAAACAACATTCAAAGTTGAATGCTATGAACGTCGGATTCTTTATTTGACCCATGTAATCCTTTAAAAAGATATTTTGTTTAATTAAAATAAAAAAAAAAATGACTTACAGCACTATCATCGTCACAGCATGCCGCACATGTACAAGAAGTGGCGTGAGGTTTTAAAATTTGTTCATCAATAAGTGTCTGTAAACTTCTTCCACCAAAGCGAATACTGCGCTTCCAATCTTTGCTGGATGCTCTTCCACAGAGTGCTTCGAATTCACTTGGCGTATACCATTCCTGGCCCAATTTTATACAACGTCCCCTACCACCTGAGCCAAATCTACTTTTATGTAGTTCGGCATTTGTATTTTTACACCTGACTGGCAATACAGCCATACTGGCCGATTCCGACCAGCTACACACTGGCTGTACATTAGAAGCAGATACATGAAGTTGTTCAGCATCGGTGTCGTCGGCACTATTTTGAATTACAATATGCGTTGCTTTCAGCTCACCATTCCAACGTAGTGGATCGCTATCCTTGTCGTGACGGGGCTCACATATGAAACTATTGTCCACGCATAACATCTGCTTAAATTGACCCGAGCCGGGTAACTATAAAGTACATTTTTAATATTCAAAAATAGAAATTCATATAGAATTTCATTTAAAAAATGGTAGAAAATAATGTGAAAAATATTAAATGTATAAATTTTTGTGTTCATTTCATAAATACTTTGTTTCCTTATGATGAGCCAAAAGTTTTGAACATTCATATGAACGATATTTTTATTGCAACTTCTTTAAGTATACAGATATTATTACAAAACATTGTTTCAAATATCTAAAAAGAAATTATTAATTTACTGTTTTATTTTACATTGACATCATAATTTTTAATAATTTTATAGATTTCGTTCACAGGGTGTCTACTAAAAATCTGAATTAAAATTCCAAGACTTTTCCAGGACAAATTTTTTATTTTTCCAGAACCTTAAGGAATAAAATAATTTTTAGTTTAACTATTGTTGTCAGAAATTTAATTCAAAAACAATTTTAATAAATATTACAGAAACATTAATAAAAATTACATTACATAATTTAAGTAAATTTTCATTTTACTTATTTAATTAATTTTTTTTAACTTGATTGACAAAATTATAAATTTTTTTGAAAATTTAAAAGCAAAATATAAATAATTCAATGACAAAAATTAAAATTCCAAGACTTACAAGGACATTTTTTCAAATTTCAGGACATTTCCACGACTTCAAGGACTAATAGACACCCTTGTTCATTTGAACGTTCAAAACTTTTGGCTCATTTCTCATGAAGCTTTTTTTGTGATCAATTTATGGTAACATATTTAGTATTATAATAATTTTAAAAAGCTATTAAGTTGTATTTTCTATGCGTTTGCAGAGATAGATTTTTAACAATAATAATTTTGTAATATTTATTAATAAAAAGTTCAATAATAGGTCAATTGATTCGTTTTTAAATATTCTCCAAATTTTTCATAATAATTTTAAAATTACATAAAAAAATTTTTTTTAATAATTAATGCAAAAAAGGCAGGTTTTTCAAAATTTTTCAATTTCAAAATATTAATAACTCTGAATAAAATAACAGTAGGATATTAAAAAAATTTTAAATGCAAAAAAATAAATGAGCCAAAAGTTTTGAACGTTCAAATGAACAAAATATTTTTTTCAATCTATAAATTATTAAAAATTATAACGGCAATGTAAAATAGAACAGTAAATTAAACAATTATTAAATTAATAATTTCTTTTTAGATATTTAAAACAATATTTTGTAATAAAATTTGTACTTAAAGAAGTTGCGAAAAACTCTCTAAATCTGAATTAGTAAAAAAGTTTATTAATTTGAATTAGTAACTCACTTTTTGCTTCTCAATTAGTAAAATTTTACTAATTATTAGTAACTTTTACTAACAATTAGTAAAATTTAACTAATTCATTAGTAAAATTTAACTAATTCTAAAGTCAAAAGTGAGTCACTAATTTAAATTAGTAAACATTTTTACTAATTCTGATTTAGAGAGAAAATTTTGTTCATTTGAAAGTTCAAAACTTTTGGCTCATAAAAATAGTAGTTAATCTTTATTAATATGGCTCAAAGTACTCTCATTATTTGTTTGCTAGTGAGACCTACAATTTTAATAAAAAATTATCCCTTTAGCTCTTATAGTATTCGAGATATTTATGAAAATTTAGTGTACACACACACCGAACGACATTTTTTTAAAATGTGATTTTTGGATTCCTGAGATCGAAAATCATAAAGATACATCAAAAAATCAAATTCGAAAAATTTAAGTATTACAATGCTTCCTGCATGAGGAAGCAATAAATTCATAGAACAAAAAAATATTTCGTTTATTTGAACGTTCAGAACCTTTTTCACATTGATTTCTCCATTCGAAAAAAGTGAAGATAATAAAATAATTTTCAAAAAAAAAATGACAATTTTAAATGAATTTTCATTTATCAATTAGAAAATACAAAAGCATTAATCACCTATTTGTTTACTTTTACAATTCACTGACAACCGTGTTTATATACAAATAAGCAATAAATGAAAATAAACTTCAATTACGTTAATGAAATAAGCCATAAAGAAAATAATGTAAATAAATAACAGTATAACCCAATCTCGAAGAAACAGAAAGTAAACCAATACACGTGAACTTTAAATACATGACACACGATTGGTTATCGAGTAACTATGTAGGTTGCAGTAATAGACATGTATATAGAAAAAAAAATAGAATAGATACAAGTAAATTTCATAATTAAAAGGAGAAAGGTAGACAACTTATTCATAAATTGTCTAAAGTAAATAACAAAAAAAATAAATAAACAAATACAGAAGAACAAATGAGAAGAAAATATTTTCAAAATAAAATAGAAATAATACCTGTAATTGATCGGAGGTGATGACGTTGAAGGTAGCTCCATTGGAGGCGTTTGCTACTCCGATGATGGAGCCGACAGGTAAGGAAACCGGTACACCAACTCCTTGAACACCAGTTACACCCGGTACGGAAGTGACGGCTACAGGATGGGCTTCGTGTTCTGTCGTCAGGGCAGACGTCTCCTCGGACTCGCTCGTCAACGGTTCGGACATGTCCGGTAACACAGCGACACTTTCCGATGTTTGATTTTCCTCCATTTCGGCTGTCCTCGCCTTTTCGCGGTCAATAGCGTTTGCAGACTCGGGCCGATGATGTTCCGCATCAAGCCAAGGATGGGTTGTCAGCAATTGTGCGTCGCTTTTAATTCAGGGTTGCATAGTTGAGCTCAAGTAAAAAATTTTCTTAACACATTTTACGCAGCAATGGATTGCGACAACGTAACAAAGAAGAACGTCCGAAATGCGGGCACAACAATTTTTAGTTGTCCAAGAGTAAATTAATTACTGATAAATTAAACTTAAATAATTAGCAAATTAATTTATTTAATATTTAACATTATTATGACTTAATTAATTTAATCTTTATCCTACGTTCGGTAGTACTATTTCTAGCCACTATGTCTAAAAGTTACTTTGATAGGCGGAAGCTGGACAAAAAAAAAATTTCAACAGAGAGTTTCTCAGTAACGGAAATCCCAATAGAGCCAATCAAATTCAGCGATGCGATCGTGAAAATTCATCATGCAGAAAACCTATTTGAAGGTCTCTTAACGGCATGTGGCTTAACGGCAGTAAACAGCGCCAATTCGAGCTTTTGGCCGCTGAATGAACTATGATATAATACATTATTTTACTATTTATTGCTTTTTTTTATTATTCATACGTTAAGTTACAGTAAATGAGTAGAACAGCCTTATGCTTTGCATCCTCCTTTATCAAGTCTTGAATATTTTAATCCGAAATCATTATTTATTTCAGAGAAACTTGAAATCCACAAAAAACGTCCTTTGCCCACATGACCTTAAGGTGCTTTTATACCACCGGTATATTCGTCAAGATGGGTTGAATTTTCACGTTCGTGTCACTTAATTTGATTGGCTGTACTAAAGTTTCATTTCTAGTTTTAAGGTGCTTATGGGTGAATCTCTCGAAAAGGACAAATGCTGAATTAAGAAAAAAAAAAAAAAAAAAGTTCAAAACCACTGTTATGACTATTGCTATGTGAAGAGAAGGACCTAAATAAGTCTCTAAAATACGTTGTTACGATCTTTATGAACATTATTGTTTAAAAAATAATTGTTTAATATAAAATAATTGTTTAATATTTTGTCACCGATACAATGATCGAATCCGATAAAATCTTGTTACTCGAGGGTTTTTGGGGTCGCTAAACACGAATCCGGTGTTAGTTTTTCAAAATTCAAAATGACAGATCCAATATGGCGGACGACAATTTCAAAAATCAGCCCAATTTACTTGAAAATGGTTATTCGGGGGTTTTCGGGGTCGCTGATTACGAATTTAAGGTCCGTTTTTAAAAATTCAAAATGGCGGACGACAGATTTAAACATCCATCCAATTTACTTGAAAATAGTTACTCAGGGGTTTTTGGGGTCGCTGATTACGAATCTGGAATCAGTTTTAAAAAATCCAAAATGTCGGGCAATTATCTTTTAAATCTATTTAATTGGCTTCAATATCGTTAATTAGGGGGTTTCAATAACGGTGAACACAAATCTGAAGGTAACCCAAGTAACCATTTTCAAGTAAATTGGATTGATTTTTGAAATTGTAGTCCGCCATATTGGATCCGCCATTTTGAATTTTGAAAAACGGACCTCAGATTCGTAATCAGCGACCCCAAAAACCTCCGAGTAACCATTTTCAGGTCAATCGGATCGATTTTTTAAATTGTTGTCCACCATATAAGTTCCGCCATTTTGAATTTTTGAAAACGGACTTCAAATTCGTAATCAGCAGACGAAAATCTTGAAGGAACGATTTCGTTTGATTTTTTTAACATTATTATTCGATAATATTACATGTTCTTTTTTTTTGACATGGCCCCCTTTGACCCCCTGTAATTCCGAAAGGGGGCATATGCTCATCTTGAAATTTTGCAGGGATTATTGGGTCATCATATGTTACCATTTGGCATAAAGAAAGTTTCAAAATTCGAGGTACGAAAAAGGTGCATTTTTTTGCATGAGGCTTTATAATCGATGGATGTGACTAGCGATCACGGAGGGGAGTTTTCTTCCTTTAGGCGTAGCCAAAATTTATTGATTCTAATATAAAAATAATAAATTTTATAAAAAAAAGTAATAATAGTATTCGCGATATTTAAAAGAATATTCTAAAAATTATTAATAATATTTATTATTTATTTATCAAAAAACTAAATTTAAAGTGGACACGGAGGGGAGTTTTTTTGTGTCGACGAACATTGCGAAACTGAAAATCTTTCTGACACTTATTGTTTTCATTTCTTTCATGATGTTGTGTACTGACCAAAACAACATCGTCACTGTAAACACTTTTGAATTCTTCATTTCTCAATTATCATTTTTTTTTTCATTTACTCATTATATTTGTAATTGGTCACGGAGGGGAGTTTACTTTGCGAACAAAACTTATTTAATTCTAGGAAAAAATATTTTACAAATATTCTGTTTTACACTTTATAAATCAATTATAAATAATGTAATTAGTAGATGTTACTAGACAAAAGATGTTTTCCTATTGCAGTATGAATGCAATAATTCTTCTTTAAATAAAACTTACTTCGCGAACGGTAACGGAGGGGAGTTTTTACACTATATAAACATGATTATATTCAATTATTTAAAATTGGCAATTTTTTTTTATAAAATCTTATTAAATTCTGTTGACTTCTATAATAAGGCCCGCAACATTTTCAATTATTATAATTATTTATTAAAAATAATGTCATGAACGTGTCATTTGTCCTTTTTGTGAGAATGACCCTTATATACCTCAAATTTCGATCAGGGGTGCTATTCTCGAAATGAGTTCCGTGCACGAATCGAAGACTTTCGAATAACTTTGTCGAAAACTGTATTCTCGAACTGTTCACTAGGCGTTCATAGACGAAACGATTAGCAACAGTTTCGTGTTCGAATTTTGGTACTGCTCATGCGCAGTAGTATTATTTAATAATATTATGTACACATATTAAAAGGGATTCAAAGTTTCGAATTGTAATCAATTATAGAGTTTCATTCATAATAATAATAATAATAATAATAATAATAATGAGAATAATAATAATAATAGTAATAATAATAATAATAATAATAATAAGAATAATAATAATGATGCAGTCAATAAATATTTCTTATATCATAAGTAATTTCATTGGTTCAAAAAAATTACACTGGAAAGTCACTAGAAATAAACGACGGCAACACTGTACAACCTATTCGTCTACGAACGATCGTCGAACGAAGTTTCGAATGGTGCTCGAGAATACGGTTGTTGCTTCGTGCACGAAACTTACCCATCGAATTTGCTCGCATACGAACAATATTCGAATAATTTCGAGAATAGGACCCCAGATGAACATTATTTCTGGACCGTGAAAATGCGTGAAAAGTCATTTTCACGGCGGGTATTTTTGAATTGTTTTAAACAAAAAATGTTTTTTTAAGAAATATAATATTAAATAATTGTTTTAATATGTAAGAACACTTTAAAATAGTGATAGAAAAATGATTTGATTAAAAAATATAGCAAATTTTGCTTTAAAACGTTTCTGCTACAAGAAAGTGTAAAATGACGATGTTTGTGAAATGGTTTGTACAGTGTACATGTGTACATGTTTCTTTCAGTTATTCGAAACAATTAGTAGAATTTAAATTTATTTGATAAACATTTCAACTTACCGATTTATTTTCAGCACACATTATTTATTACAAGTTAAAAACAAAAAAGACATAACATAAACAAAACTCTGAGAGACACTCACAAGGAAGAAGCACTGTACAAACCGTTTCACAAACATCGTCATTTTACACTTTCTTGTAGCAGAAACGTTTTAAAGCAAAATTTGCTATATTTTTTAATCAAATCATTTTTCTATCACTATTTTAAAGTGTTCTTACATATTAAAACAATTATTTAATATTATATTTCTTAAAAAAACATTTTTTGTTTAAAACAATTCAAAAATACCCGCCGTGAAAATGACTTTTCACGCATTTTCACGGTCCAGAAATAATGTTCATCTGATCGAAATTTGAGGTATAAAAGCACCTTAACAATAAAGTCAATAACTTTTTACTAGAGCAAGGTGCGGTAGTAAAAATTTATTGACTTTGGATCAATCCATTATATTTCGACTGAAGTCGTCGCTGACTAATTTTTAAAAATTATAATACTTTGCAGGAATGATTTTGAAGTTATCAAGATCACGAAATGAAAAGAATTTTATTAAAATTTTAATTATTTATTGCAAAATATGAATTTAAAGTATATGAGGTGCTGAAAACTGTCAATTTTTTAGCCATTAGAAAATATGCAAAAATACGTAGAATTTACCATAAAAATAAAAAAAATTTTTTGTAATTTACTAAGAATGAATAAATTTATCATTATCAATTGATGTAATTATTTAAATATGTGAAATAATAAATAAAATATGATTTTCAAGTTTGCCTGTCAAATAACCTAAATTTGCAAATTTCATCTATTAAATGTGAGAAAGAGAAGTCATTAAATTAAAAAAAACTTTACCAAATATAAAGTACCTGTGACTAACTTTTAGTTTTTCTTAGCACTTTTTTCCTTTTTTCTTCATAAATGTGAAATAAAAAGCAATAAAAATTGGCACTTTGCTTAATTTCACTATTTTCAAATGTAAATAACTTTCTTGGAGAAAACTGAAAAATTACAAAACTTGGGCAATATCTAATTGATCACTAACTACACACACTGGAAAAAAATTCGCTTTGGTCCCGAAGATACTTTTTGAGATAATTATGTTTAAATTTTTCACAATTTTTATCAGGTTAATGCATGTGATTTTTATAAAATTGAAGTTAGTTCAAAATGTTTAACCAATAAAACCTAACTTCGTCCTTAAAGAACTACATGTATTAACCTGATAAAAATTGTGAAAAGTTTAAACTTAATTATCTCAAAAAGTATCTTCGGGACCAAAGCGAATTTTTTTCCAGTGTGTGTATTTAGTGATCAATTAGATATTACCCAAGTTTTGTAATTTTTCAGTTTTCTCCAAGAAAGTTATTTACATTTAAAAATAGTGAAAATAAGCAAAGTGCCAATTTTTATTGCTTTTTATTTCACATTTATGAAGAAAAAAGGAAAAAAGTGCTAAGAAAAACTAAAAGTTAGTCACAGGTACTTTATATTTGGTAAGGTTTTTTTCAATTAAATGACTTCTCTTTCTCACATATAATAGATGAAATTTGCAAATTTAGGTTATTTGACAGGCAAACTTGAAAATCATATTTTATTTATTATTTCACATATTTAAATAATTACATCAATTGATAATGATAAATTTATTCATTCTTAGTAAATTACAAAAAATTTTTTTTATTTTTATGGTAAATTCTACGTATTTTTGCATATTTTCTAATGGCTAAAAAATTGACAGTTTTCAGCACCTCATATACTTTAAATTCATATTTTGCAATAAATAATTAAAATTTTAATAAAATTCTTTTCATTTCGTGATCTTGATAACTTCAAAATCATTCCTGCAAAGTATTATAATTTTTAAAAATTAGTCAGCGACGACTTCAGTCGAAATATAATGGATTGACCCTTTGTAGTAACTTTTAATTTTAACTATAAAGTAACTAAATTTTCACTAGAGTAGGGTGCGGTAGTTGACGAGAATTATGACAAATGGCGAGTGGGGACAATAACAATCTACTATGCTTGTGTTCAGGTCAAAGCAGAATATATTTTTGAACGAGAACGCAATTGTGAACGGAAATGTAAGAATGAATGTGAGAAGAATAAAAAATATTTGCTATCCTTCTCTTACTCGTTCTTACGTTTCCGTTTACGATTGCGTTCCTGTTCAAGAATCTATTCTGCTTAGGCCTTTGGAACGCTGTGTTAAAACCTGAGCAGAATAGCAACGTAACCGGAATCGCAAACGCAACCGGAAGAATGAGTTAGAGAAAGATAGACATATTGTTTGTCTTTCAATAACTCATTATTCCGGTTACGTTTGCGGTTACGATTCCGGTTACGTTTCTATTCTGCTCAGGCCTTTATGCGTTGAATAATGAGACGGAAAGGGGGGAAAGAAAGATAGACATATACTTTCATTGTTTGTTATGCTGATTCTACACTCAACTAAAACTGTGCGTGCGGTCCGCATTTGCGTTACGTTTTTTATATATATAGATATAATTGAATATGGGAAGCGTGACGAAAAGCGGACCGCTCGCTCAGTTTTCGGTGAGTGTAGAATCAGCATCATGGGACGGTACCTTTAAGTTGGTTCTACAATAAGCGCGTCGGACGTGAACGTGTACCTAATGAGAGAGAGAGAGAGAGGGGTATAGATGTATAATATCCGCACCCCTCTTTCTTATTAGGTACACGTTCGCGTACACGTCCGACGCGCTTATTGTAGAACCAACTTTAGGTCGCTTCCAGAAGGAAGACGCAAATGCAACCCCATTCGATTAGCATTGTGATGCGTTTGCGTCTCCATTCTGGAAGTGGCTTTACACTCATTTAGGTCGTATCCAAATTGGGATTTTTAGCGTACTTTTGATGAAGTGTATACTAGGGAAGTATGCAGTGTCCTTGTTTTTTTGTGCAAAAACAAGGACAATGCATACTTCCCGAGTATACACTTTATCAAAAGTACGCTAAAAATCCCAATTCGGAAACGGACTTACTCAACGCATAACGCAGCATTCGAACGCAAGGTTTGGTTGGTTTTCATTGTCCCCACTCGCCAAAACCCCCTCTCGTCATTTATCATAATTCTCGTTAACTATCGCACCCTGCTCTAGTGAAAATTTAGTGACTTTATTGTTAAAATTAAAAGTTACTATAAAGTTACTAAATTTTCACTAGAGCAGGGTGCTGTAGTTCACGAGAATTATGACAAATGGCGAGTGGGGACAATGGAAACCAACCCATGTAAGCACCGCCTCTAGGTAAGTCCAGAATGAGCACGCAAACGGTACGTTATAACGTTAACTTGCTGACGTCACAATACTGGAGATATAAAAGCTTCTTAAAGGCGCTTGTACACCTCACAAATTCTGAGTATCCTCGGAATTTGTCAGAAGTTTCACTAACTTTGATTGGCTTTGCCCATAGAGAATTTCGAAATTTTCCTATCTTTTGGAAATTCTCCATGAGCAAGGCCAATCAAAATTAGTATAACTTTTGACAAATTCGGAGTATACTTAATATTCCATTTCCACCGTGAAAATGGAATATTTTTAGAGCCAATCAAATTCAGTGATTCTCCGTGAAAATTCAATCCAGCCGATTGCTTGATCAAAATACTGGAGGTATAAAAGCACCTTTAGAATTTGTGAGGTGTACAAGCGCCTTAAATGTCCAATAACTGGTTGGGGAGTTTCCTCACTATCCTTTTCACTCTCATAATTTTCTTTTACGCCACCATGTGATTTCACCTTAATGATGGTAAAATTCAAGTTTCCCAACTCTGTCTCAGGATTTATGAAATATGAAAAACCCTTTAAATACAATTCTTGGTAAATACGATTTTGAGTGAATTAAAATTAACATTTATGAAAATTTCATAATAATAGATAACAATAACAAATATAAAATTAAGTAAATTATTTTTGAATTAATATATATTGTATTTAAGAAAATTTTTTTTTATACAATAGTAATTCTAAAATTTTACCCTATTTAAAAATATTAAATTTAATACCTATAATTTTAAAACAAAAATATTTTGTTTATTAAACGATTTATAACAATTCTTTTTTTGTATTTAAAAATATTCACAACGATTATAATAATAGTAAGAAAATATTTTCAAAGACCACATAAAAATGACTGCTTTATTTATAGTGTAGACACTTTATTAAAGGAAATTACAGGTGTTTTCTGCATGCAATATTGCAATTGGAGTACTCAACACATTCATAGAACCCACGGGAGCGGTGAATACCTGGATACCTGTGAAGCTTTCTCAATCGGCCGTGTGGTGCGCAAAGAAAGTTTAAAGAAACACATAGAGAATATTTGCAATGATTTTTCCTTTAGTTTTTTAATGAATTCCAAAGTTACTGTGATTTCTAGTGGACTAGAATGTGGCAAGGTGTATCGTGATAATTATACCGCGAGATAAAATTTTCCATGAAAATTTTTTCATATTAAATAGTGAAGCCGCAAATTACGACTCAAAATAGGCGTTGCTGTCATTTGGCTTCCCCCGGGTTCCCCTTTCGTTTTTCCTAAAATTTCACACAATTAAACTTATGTGCAATGTCACCTGTCCTGAGGCTACTTTCGAATATTGACATAAATCATCAAATTCTCAGCATATGACGCTCCCAAAAATCTCGAGAAAAGGAATACAAAAAGTGAATGTGTTTCATTTCTCATAATAATAAGGAGTGACACAATCAGCATTACTGACAAGGATTGAAGAGATATTTTTCGAAGGGCTTATACTTTTTTTTTTTTTTTTGAGTAAGTACATTTTTTAATTGTATCTAATAATTTTGTTATTCAAAATGTGAATTAAGTTTTAATTTCAAGAATTGATGTTTATTTAAAAATGCAATTTTAATGTTAAAAATTGATACGTCTAATGTTATGATTTACTATAATGTTATTTGATATTTAATTACTCAATTAGTGTTCGTTAAAATAAATAGTTTTCGAAATATTTTCATGTAATTATAAAAAGTCGGGAGTTTATGCAACAAAATCGATTTTCAACTGTTTCTTATTTATTCTTTTAAATGGATTATTGTGTAATAATTACGAGAAAAATAAACAAACACGATAGTTATTTTTAATATATTTCAATTGGCTAAAAGTATTAGGTTATATTAAAAATTATGTTACGAAACAATATGAAAAATTTTATTCAATATTATTTATATTTTAACAAAACAAAATGTAATATTTTATTCTTATATTAAATGTTTAATATTTGTGTTACGTATAATATAACGAAATTATAATATATTATTATTTCACAAAAATATTATCATTACGGATGGAAAAACTAATTAATAGTTTCGTTATTTTAATTTTCTTCTAAATAATCGAAGAATCCTAAAAAAACAAAGTAAATATTATTTTTAGAATGTTTGCCAAAAAGAAAAAGAAGCCACAAATATCGACACCAACAAATTTTGAGCATAGAGTTCATACTGGTTTTGATAAACGCGAAGGCAAATTTGTTGGTTTACCTTTGCAATGGGCGTCAATTGTTGGCAACAATCAAATACTCAAGTCTACAAATCGTCCACTACCACTTGTTGATCCAAGTGAAATTACACCAACGGAAATTCTCGATTTAAAAACAATTGTACGAGGACACAATGATCCGAGAATTGGAAAATTTGCACCTGGTGATAAAGGCACTGAAAATGGATTGCCAAAAACTAGCACAGTCGCTAGATCAAATTCACTTCGATCGTCTAGTCCACCTAGACTTAGGCGAGACTACAGGTATATTATTTTACTTACAAATTGATTTTCAAAAAAAAAAAAAATTTATAAATTTAAATATAATACGAAGCCGATGTACGTAACGTTTATGATAAACGATTTTTAAAGAAATAATTTTTTAAAATGAAAAATTCTATAATTTTTTGCCTAAAAAATATTTCTTGTAGTTTTTATTAATCAACAAATTATAAAAAATAATTTTTTTTAGGTAAACAATTTTATAATTTTCCGTGTTAAATAAAATTGTAAAAAATTGTGCTGAATTATGCTAGATTTGGTGAATTCAGAACAAAATTTATTTTTGAAAAATAATAATTCCAGGCCTCAGATTATACGACTTTTTCCAACTTTTTTTAAAAATTCAACTTTTTTCGACTTATTTTAATAAAATGCGACTTATTTTTCGACTTTTTTTTCACATTTTTTTTACAGAATTTTTAAACAAAATACGTTTTTTATTATACAATGCAGATTTTCTTCAGATCTTCTTTATTTCATTTATTTAACAAATTTTTAAATAAAATTCTTAACTAAATTCATTATTTTTAATAATTTTAATGAAATTCTTCACAAATTTAATTATCTTAAACTATTTTTCAATTAAAATTTTTATGAAATTTAATAATTGTTTATAATTTGAAAAAAAAAATAGCAAATAAAATTACCAAAAAATTTTAATTCTAAATCACTTGAAATTTAATTATTTACAAAAATTTCAATTATTTTCAATAATTTTTATAATACTCTTCGAAAATTCAGTTATCCGAAAGTATTTTTCTTCTAATAAATTCTTTATCAACAAAAATCACTAAAAATTTCTCTTATTATAATTATTGTCTGAAATTTAATACAATCTTTTGAAATTCAATTACTATTTTCAATAATTTCAATTTTAAAGCTTCTAAAAATTAATAATTTCTAAATTTTTTTTCAAATTTAATCATTTCAATTATAACTCTCCTGAAATTCAATTATTTTTAATGATTTTTATAATATTCTTCGAAAATTCAACTATCTGAAACTATTTTTCAATTAAAAACTTTTCAAATTATTTTATTTTTGTCTGCAATTTCTAATAAATTTTTTAGTAACAGAAATCATCATAAATTTAAAATTAAAAATCACTTGAAGTTGAATTAATTTCAAAAATCTAAATTTTAATCTAATTTAAAAAAAAAATTTTTTTTTAATTTTAAATTTTCATTTCTTGAATTTAAATTTGAATTATTTTGAATAATTTATTATTAAAGATTTCGAAACATTTTTTTTTTTTTTAGAAATAATTCAAATCTTCCACCTTCCGTACCGGAAGGACAAGAGATGTCAATGAGTCCCGCTCAACTTCAGGCGTATTCGAATTTTGCAAAATCACATGGCTATCCAGAGAAAATGCGGCAAAATTCACCGCACGTTGGACCAACAATGAATTCCAATCATCACAGCCTCATTCCAAATCTACAGAATCTCAATCCTAATATGCAATCGTCACCAAATTTAACGCACATGGGATCGAATGCGCCTAATTTGTCATTAAATTTCCAAAATTTAAGTCCAATCCCAAGTATTCCAAGTCCAACAACAATAAATTCGAATATATCACAAATTCCCGAACACGATCTACAAAGAATGAATCAACCCATGACAGCGCCATCCGGACAATATAATGGCAATTTCCAGGTATAAATTTATTATAATATTAATGTTCTGCAAATTCTCAACTTTCAACGAGCGAAAAAAGTTTACTAATTTTTTAAATTTCAATTTTATTATCAAATATTGATTTCTTTGGAAGCTGAAGTACGCAACGTTTATGATAAACGATTTTTAAAGAAATAATTTTTTAAAATAAAAAATTCTATAATTTTTTGCTTACAAAATATTTTTTTATAATTTGTTGATTAATAAAAACTACAAAAAATATTTTTTAGGCGAAAAATTATAGAATTTTTCATTGTAAAAAATTATTTCTTTAAAAATGGTTTATCATAAACGTTGCGTACTTCAGCTTCGTGATTTCTTTATCAAAAATTGAAAAAAAAATGTTGACACTTTCGATTTGGATAAAATTTTTTTATCTTTCAGTACTCTACGTAAAAGTGACCCATGATTTTTTTTTTAAATTTTTTTATCCATCAACAAATTTTCAAAAACTTCACACGATTTCAAAAAATAAAAAAATTGATACATTTTTAAAGAATTCACGAGCATTTAAAAATAAAAAATCATTTTTGAAAATTTCATATGGCCTAAACAGTTTCATAAAAAAATTTGGAAAAAAATCATGGAACACTTTTTCATAGGGTACTAAAAGATAAAAAAAAATAAAATTTAGCCAAATCGAACGTGTCAATGTGATTTGTTCAACTGAATTGTTCAAAACATTAGGCATACACTATCTATAGCTAAAAATTATTCATATTTCTTTTTATTTTTATAAATTTTTTTCCCCAAAATAAAATAAATTGAATATTTTCAAACAGGTGAATAAAATGGATCCAACAATGAGAGATCGACAATCAGCTCATAATATGTTAATTCATAATATGCATCCAAAAGTATCGCCAGTTGGATCAATAGCATCGCAAAGACCATTGAGTCAATTGAGTTCACACAATGTTAATAAACATTCGCAAAATTATAATGTCACTGAAAATCCATCGACACTTCATTCACATTTTCATAAACCAATTGAAAGTTCACAGTCAATGCACAATCTTTCAAAATCCGCCACCTCATCAACAATTGCAAGTGGTAGCTCTTTACCAGATCAAAATCAAAATATGAAAAGTGCCGTATCATCGGGAAATTTGGCAATTGTCTCATCAACATCGGGCACATCGAACAATGTCAATAAACAAAATGCCGATCAAAGGCTTACGCATGAACAATTTAGAGCCGCATTACAAATGGTTGTAAGTCGTGGTGATCCACGTGAGAATTTGGAGAATTTTTTGAAAATTGGCGAAGGCAGTACGGGCACTGTTTGTATAGCGACCGATAAGGCATTACATCGTCAGGTGGCGGTAAAAAAAATGGATCTCAGAAAACAACAGAGACGCGAATTACTTTTCAATGAAGTTGTTATTATGAGAGATTATCATCATCCAAATATTGTTGAGATGTATGATAGTTTTCTTGTTGACGATGAATTATGGGTTGTCATGGAATATCTTGAAGGTGGAGCATTAACCGATATTGTGACACATTCACGTATGGATGAAAGTCAAATAGCAACTGTTTGTTCACAGTGCCTTAAACCACTTGAATATTTACATTCACAAGGTGTTATTCATCGTGACATTAAATCTGATTCAATATTATTAACTGCCGATGGTCGTGTTAAATTATCGGACTTTGGATTTTGCGCGCAAGTCTCGCAAGAATTACCAAAACGAAAATCATTAGTGGGCACACCATATTGGATGAGTCCCGAAGTTATTTCCAGGTAAAAAACTAATTTTTTTTAAAATTATTTTATATTATAATTATTGTTGATAAGTTCCTATTGAACTTGAAAATCATGGAGAAAGTATGGAATTTTTTTATAAATTTCCGAATATCATGACAAAAAGGCCGGAAATTTTTTTAAAGTTTCTAAATTTTTCAAATTTAAACTATTTTAATGTATTAAAAATATTTAAACAAATTCTAATTTCATCAGCACTGAAACAAAATAAAAGCAGAATGTGCATTTTACTTCGGTAATTTCTGCTGTAATTCAAAAGCAATGCACAAATAGCAGTTTTTCAAAAGCAATGCACAAATAGCAGTTTTTCCTTTGAAAAAAGGCAAATTTTTTAATCTTAGTTACTAAAGTCAGAAATGCTCGTCATTTAGCAAGTAAATTTGTCAAAGCTAATTTTATGTTTAATTCAAACGATGGATGCAAAAGTAATAATAGATATATAGGATGTATTCGAAGTCCATCTACAATTGCATATCCGATTTTTTTGAAACTTTTTTTTCTTTTACTAATAATTGAGACTAGCTTTCATGATTTTTTTCAAATTTTTTTAGCAAGCCGTTTTCGAGATATGAATTTTTCAAAATTTCAGAATTTTAATGACTTTTAAATTTTTAATGCTCATAACTTTCTTTACTGGAATGGCAGGTTACCCTAATATTTTTTAGATTGTCATGTTTCTCAACATTCGCCTGAATTGTGGCGTATTTCTGCCCTCAATCGACGATTTGAAATTACATATTTAAAATGATTATTTTATAAATCTTACTACTTTCCATGGCCATCGTCCTTGTACTAGGGTGAAGGTAACGAAAAATAG